GGCGAGGCATAGCCGAGGCTGAATCCGAAAGCCATAGCCCCAAAACATGCGCTGACTACCGCAAAAAGCCCATTAAAATGAAGCTTTTTTTGCGTGTCCTTTGTCTGTGGTTGAGCATTTATAATACTGACTGAGGGATCGGCCATAGCGTCTGCAGTGTATAGGTCTTTTCCTCAATAGATTACTGTTATAACTATGCCGCCAATATTATTTGCTTCTGATATAAAACATATGTAAGTCCCAATGTAATGAAACGTCTTCTAAAATGTAGATTTGGTGAGGTACTTTGGGTCACTTCCAACTGCACAAGAACTCATCCGAAGTTCACTGCGATAAAAAATAAACAATAGGAGCCAATATATCACGATCGTACCTGTACTAAAATAGCCAAATCACACTGAACGTGAGCTTGTATCTTTACTGCAGAGCGTGTTGCATCCTCTTCATAATCATTAACCATATTTCATAACACCTGAATAATGTAGTACCAGACTTATCAGTGATATCAGTAACCCAGATAGATAGGGAGAAACTTCTCCGTCTAGGCCGCTGGTAATACCCTAGGATCTAGATTCCGGTATTGCCAGCTCGATCTTGATTTCAAATATAACCCGCATCAGCAATACCAGTAAAAGTGATCCCATAGTTAACAAGCTAGTTTTTACTGTCCTCTGACACTCAGGGTTCTGGTAACAGTGAACCACAGTTCTTCATTGTGTGGCGTGCACGTGAGTCTAAAGTTCCGTGTAAGACCGGTGTGGCAGGAATGGCAGTCCGTCAGTAACCGTGGTCCGTTCCCCCGTTACTTTGTATAGGTGACATTTGTCCCATATACAAACCCCCGATACCTCTGGCTTGCCCTAAGAGGAATGAGAGTTTATTTCCGCCTTACGATATTTTTCTGTGCATGCTTTTCTCAACATAATGGAAATATAAGAACTGTACTAAAATACTTTTATTGAAGAAAAATGGAGAAGGTTTAGGTCCCATGCAAAATACGTTTTTCGTTATTCAGATTTAAACTTAATTTATATTGATTTGTCTTTTATGGATTTGTTATTAACATATGTGTCGATTAAGGCAAAAAAGTAAAGACAATAAGCCATAATGCTGACTTTAAACTACAAGCCAATTTTCTTACGATGATCTGAGTCCGATGATTCTCTGAGACTGTGACACCGACTATAAAAGTAGATTCATTCATTGTTGATGATAATGAGACACAAGCACGCACTGTTTGTTCACAAGGCCTTTATTCAAGGTCTGTCACGAGCTCAACAGTACCCTGGTTTAATCGTTAGAATATTAACACTGTATCCACTTAAACCCCCTTTACACTGGACGGCGTCCTTTCTGCGTCCTTTGTGCGACCATGAAACTGACCAGGACGCCGTCGGACGCTCAAAGAACGCACAGTGATCGCCAAGGTCGCACAAAGCACGTTCAAGCATCGCCCAGGACGCCATGGACGCCGCGAAGTTTTGAGCATGTTCAAAACAATCGCAGAGAGAACGCGATGGAGGATGGTCGCTCAATGGACGCAGAAAGGACGCACAAGCATCGCCGTGGTCGTAGAAAGGAGGCACAAGCATCGCTTTGGTTGCAGAATGAAAACTCAAAGATCGTCCAGTGTTCGGAACGTAGAACAATATTTTTTTTTTCACTCTCAAACGGGGCCGTGCATAGGTATTTTTCACCAGACAGGAATTCTAAGGGCAACAGTGGTATCATATCATCCTCTGATTGTTTTTTCCCCTAAAATATATGAAACGATCCATTTTTTTCAGGTTATTGTAAAGCAAATATTTTGCCTTTTTTTGCTTTGGCGACCGTTGAGCGTCCAAACCACATTTTTGAACGTTTTGCGTTCAAAAATGTGGTTTGGACGCTCAACGGTCGCCAAAGCAATTAAATCGTGTCTCAGTGTAAAGGCGTCTGCGTCCTCTGAACGACCGAATCTTAATTTTACCTGTAAAACTGCGAGCAGCCTGCCTGCTTCCACTGTATGTCCCCTGTGCAACCCCAGGCGTCCATTGCGATGTTTGAGCGACCATTGAGCATTCTTGCTGCGTTCTCTGTACCTTCATTCGCGATCAGTGGCGTCTATTCTACGATCATTCTGCATCCTGCTTGACCGATGAGCGTTGTTTGGGCGTCCTTCTCTATATTCTAACTCATATTTTTTCATCGGTTCTAACCAAGCCATCCAATAAAGAACATTTCCAGCACACAAAACAAATAAATGGGAATAAACGCTTCAAACTATAGTGATGCAAGGTCTGCATGGACTGATAATCAGCCAGATGCTCATTGTTATCCATATAAGAAGGATGGACAGGCGCCGAAAACGAGAAAGTGTGACTGACACAACATAGAATATTTGAATCCGTTTTCAAATGACGCATTCTGCAAAAAGTTCTGACAATTAATGCATCTTGTAAAAAAA